ACCCAACGGCACTAATTCGACCTACAGGAACCACTTTTTCAAGCAATATTTTTTCAGACCTACAGTATTTTACACTTCGAACAATATCCTCTAAAATATTAATAATCATTTTGTTAAATTGCCTGTTTTTAGAGAGAGAAAAAAGATTTTAAATGTGTATAAAATATAATATACTGTGAACACAAATCTCAATAAGTTTATGTAACAATAAAACTCTTTTTGTTACAGAAAATTGTTAAGACTGAAAGACTGCTTCTTATAACAAGCAGATCTAAATTTATATCCAAATGTGCAATCCTTTTTTTTTAACGACAAGATGACTCTGCATCTTCTCTCCTCCGCTCTAGAAACCGATTTCTTTTGTTCAAATGACATTTAGAATTTCTGATTCAGCAATAAACTATAGTACATTGTACGTGTTAACAATCGCTCGCAAACTTTTCCAGTGATTCGAGACACGCGATGCTTTCTGGAAAATGGTGCTACCGCAGCGCATCTTTTTGTCAGCGAGGATCTGCCTGTTGGCGATACCGTAGGAGTCCTCGGAGTGCTAGGTGATCCTGGCTCGCAAGGTGACATCGAGCTGAGCCTGCAGGAGCATGACAGCCCCGTCACGTTCTCACCGTATTCGAAGAATTTAACTCTTATTAGACCTCTTGACAAGGAAGGTATCGAGGGACCAGCCAGTGTCTACATCAATGTTATCTGCGAGAAAAAACATACCTTAGATCCGGTAAGATTTTCGAAAGAATTATATTATATTAAATGTCAAGAAAATGAAGAAAATATCTTTAAAATTACGCTATTAATGTTATTTTTGTTAAATTTTATTCATTGTCTTAAATATGAAACATATAAATGATAATCCAAAAATTTTATACATTTTCTTCTTTATTTATAAATGTTTTAACAAATTTGGTATAGAGAATTCTTTAACAAAATGTCAAATTTATTTTTAATAGTTTCAATTAGTTTTATGTAAGAATGTTTAATATTCTTATAATTCCATTTCAAATATCTATAAAATACAATTTTATTTTTATTATTTAATTTCATTAAAGAACTAATTTTTCTTATTATTATTTCTTTTATCATTATTATTTTTTAATATTTAAAGGGTTTTATCATACCGGTAAACATTCGGGTAACCGACGCAAATGATAATTCACCGCAATTCGTGAATGCGCCTTATGTCCTGAATATTTCTGAGGTAAAAAAAATTTTTTATGTTTTAATATAGCATATTTCTGTTATTTTAACATAATATGAATATTTCAGGTTACTGTTGTCGGCACAAGAGTTTTACAAGGAGTTCGAGCTATTGATGCTGATCAACCAGGACCATATTCCACTGTACAGTATGCAGTCTTACCAGGACCTCACTCGGTAATTTTTATGAAGACATTTAATTTTTATAAAAACATATAGTTTAATTATATTTCTTCTAATACTCTATTATAT